ATAGGATGGGGATTATCGACAATGATGGAATGGGACGGGTATTGCGAGTGAGAGGTGACGAAGGTAGCACTCAGCACCCATTGCATTTGCCTGGGGTTTATTGCGCTGGCTGGGTAAAGAGAGGCCCAACAGGCGTCATTGCGTCGACTATGGAGGACGCATTTTCTACTGCTGATGCAATCGCTTCCGATTGGAATTCTGATGCCCTATTCCTTAAAGGAGAAAGCAGCTCTGGTTGGGAAGCCTTACGGGCAGGGGTAGAGCATGGCAAATGCAGGGTTATCCAGTGGGACGACTGGCGGAAGATAGACAAGGCGGAAAGGGAGCGGGGTCTGCTACTAGGAAAAGAACGAGAGAAGTTCACGAGCATAGCGGAGATGATATCTGCAGCTGGAAGCTAGACTAACCTAACCTAGAGAAATACCCATGCGGGCGGTTGTAAATATTGTATTTATATACTTATATATATCCACTTACGAACTCTTCAGCTTCTCTGTTAACTCGGGGACCTTGTCGAATAAATCCCCAACCAAGCCCACGTCGGCTACTTGGAATATCGGCGCCTCGGCATCTTTGTTAATAGCTGCAATCACCTTGCTGTCCTTCATACCTGCCAGATGCTGGATGGCACCGGAAATCCCAACGGCAAGGTATAATTGAGGAGCAACCACCTTACCCGTTTGGCCAACCTGAAGGCTGTTGTCGGCGTACCCGCTATCTACCGCAGCACGAGAGGCGCCAACTGCGGCACCTAACGAGTCTGCAAGCGGTAACATAATCTTATCGAAGTCTTCCTTCGATTTTAGACCTCTACCTCCGGAGACAACTCTACCAGCGGTCGCTAGGTCCGGCCTGTCTGATTTGGCTAGATCTTCAGAAACCCACTCCACAGAAATTTCCACATTAGGGTCAACGCCATCTTCTATAGTTGCGGAACCTCCCTGTGCTTCGGCGGCGGGGAAGGCCGTGCCACGAATAGTAATAACTTTAATTGGATCGGAGGACTCAACGGTCGCAATGGCGTTGCCGGCGTAGATCGGGCGTACGAAGGTGTTCTCGTTTTCAATAGCAGTTATGTCTGATATTTGTTGGGAGTCGAGAAGCGCGGCGACCCGCGGTAATAAGCTCTTCCCAAAAGCAGTGTGTCCTGCGATGATATGAGTGTAACCGCCCTTCTTGATATTCTCAACTAATAGCGGCGCAAAGTTCTCCGGAAGGCCCTGTAATTCAACGAACGTTAACTTCTAGCCCTGTAGCTCAATTAAATAATAGATCCGTCCCCGCCTACCTTGTCGTAAGCAGCGCTGTCTACCGCGATTACTTTTTCGACGCCTTCTACTTTGGCCGCCTCCTCTGCTACGGGCTTAATGTTGCTTCCGGCGACGAATCCATGTATCGAACCCCCAAGCTTCTTAGCGGCTGTAATTGCGCTCAAGGAACCGTGGTTGAGCTTCCCATCGCGCTGCTCTAAGACGGCCAATGACGATAATAATCTTCGAAGGGCCGAGGGGCTGTTGGCGTTGAAAGGACTCGAAAGCACAGAAGTAGAGCGCGGCACGCTGCCGACGCTTCGAAGAACTGTTCGGCTCGCTGTAGAGAAAAGCATTGTGTTTTGCGGCTCAAGTTTGTCAAGTTTGGCAAGTTTCTTGCAGAAACCAGCCTACTGCAGTTCGTCTAAGCGTCTAAGAACCTCGTCATGAATTCGGTTGTTCACGGCTTCCACCGAGGTAAGAAGAATGCATGTATTTGGACCCGATAGCGGAAGCCTATGCATGTATCGTGTATCTATTGTAGATATGTATAAATCGGGGTTGCAGTTGGTGGTGGTGCATTCAGCACAACATATGTAACATTAAATATTAATAAGATGAGTCACGTGAGATATATGGCATCCTAATAGATACCTGTATGTACCTTAGGTTAGATAATCTCTACCTATGTCGACGCTTGGACCAAGTACCTATCACACTGCAGGTGCCCAGCCCTCTGCCAGTCAAATTCACTGCTTTCCCAGCTTTGCCAGTTGGTTCCCTTTAGTCGCGCCAAATTATTTCTCCAAACACGCGGTCGACCCAGCTCATCGCATAGGACGCATCCAATGAATTAATATCCATCAACGTCCTAGTAATCTAATCGGTCAAAGCGCACTCTTCAATCAAATTCTTTCCACTCATTAATATATCGTCGCAGCTAGAATTGAGACTGTTGCGATACGTCGCGTCAGTTTCTTTTTTCCTTTCGAAATTGATATAATCACATACCAACGTCTTCCCCCCCCTTCCCTCCTTCGAGCGTTGTTAGTTGGAAATTTGCATTTTCCTTCAGAATATTTTCCTTCAAGATGGAAGGCGAACACGCCAACTACGGCTCGCCAGCCAATGCAGCAACTCCGGGCAGTAACCCGATCCTAGCGCAGCCGTCCCTTCAGTCTAATATGTCGGGTGCGCCTCAAAGCTCGGAAGGTAGGTTAAGATAACGGCTCTAGCCTTAATGTATGTCTCAATGTATGTCGATGCTAATGCGCGGATCAGATGTGCAGATGTCCGAAATCCCCTCCGCAGACCCCGTCATCAAGCAAGATAGCACTACTCCTGCTCCTGCTGGTACTTCAGACAACCCACTTGATGCCCCTCCTGCACCGCCTGCTGAAACTACCCTAGCTAAGGATGATGAAGAGATGGGTGACGCTCAGGCCGAGCCCCGGGACGGACGTCCCCAAGACAAGGACGTCGAGGATGTAGCCGCTGCCGGTGATGGTAGCGCTCAGGAAGTGAAGTCAAAGGAGAGCATCGAGAATGCTGCGCGCGAACATCTTATCTCCCAAACCCACGCAATTGTTCTACCCAGCTATAGCACCTGGTTCGATATGAACGCGATCCACAGCATCGAACGTAAAGCTCTCCCCGAATTTTTCAATAGTCGAAATCGAAGCAAGACCCCCGCCGTATACAAGGATTACCGCGATTTTATGATCAACACCTACCGGTTGAACCCCGTTGAGTACTTGACCGTGACTGCGTGTAGAAGAAACTTGGCTGGCGACGTTTGTGCCATCATGCGCGTCCACGCGTTTCTGGAGCAGTGGGGATTGATTAACTATCAAGTACTGCCTAACTGTCTATTATATAATAGTATCAACTTTCTAACAAGTTACAGGTTGATGCGGATCAACGCCCGTCTCAAGTCGGCCCGCCCTTCACGGGTCATTTCCAAGTTATCTGTGATACCCCTCGTGGGCTCCAACCCTGGCAACCATCGGCCGATCCGATCGTACTCGAAGGCAAAAAGAACCAGGATACTGACCAAAAGGTCAATACTGCTGCCACTGCTGCAGGCGAGCGAAACCTTGAGATTGGTCGCAACATCTACGAGGCTAACGCGAAAGGGGCAAAACTTAACAAGTCCGAGAACAAGACTAATGGCGAGGCCACAACCAACGGTGCAACATCACCGTTAGCTGATGACAACCTGAGCAAGCCTATCGCTAAGGTACACTGCTATAACTGCGGCATCGATTGCACTCGGCTCTACTATCATCTGCCGGAGGCCAATTCCACTAATAAGGCGATGTGCGACCTGTGCTCCAGCTGTTTCGTGGAGGGTCGGATACCTGGAAATCAATCTAATACCCAATTCGTCCAAATAGAGAACAAAACTTATTCATCCGTTCTCGATCGCGATGCTCCATGGACAGACGCCGAGGTGCTTCGACTTCTTGAGGCCTTGGAAAAGTATGATGACGATTGGGCTGAGATTGCAGCGCACGTAGGCACGCGAACTCGGGAGGAATGTGTTTTACAATTCCTCCAGTTAGATATTGAGGACAAGTATCTCGAGACGGAAGCCCCTATTCATGCTCCCACCGGTCTTGCTATGCTCGGAAAGCATGGCGGACACCTTCCTTTTAGTCAGGCTGATAACCCAGTCATGTCTGTTATCGGGTTCCTTGCTAGCCTCGCAGATCCTAAGACAACGGCCGCGGCAGCGAAGAAATCTGTGGAACAACTCCAAGAGGGTCTACGGAATAAGATTGAGGGCAATGGCGCGGCTAAGGTTAACGGAAAAGGTAAGGGGAAGGAGGGTGACTCGATGGAAGTAGACGGTCACGAAGAGCATGCCGGTACTGCTGCGTCTGACTTGGCTAGCATACCGCTTGCTGCCATGGGTGCGCGTGCAGGCGGCCTAGCTTCGCACGAGGAGCGAGAGATGACGAGACTCCTCTCTGCCGCAGTAAACGTCACCCTACAAAAAATGGAGCTGAAGCTGAAATATTTCGACGAGATGGAGGGTATTCTACAGGCAGAGCGACGCGAATTAGAACGGGGAAGGCAACAACTCTTCCTTGATCGACTGGCCTTCAAGAAGCGGGTACGGGAAACGCAAGCAGGCCTTAAGTCGGCTAGCATGAACGGTGACGTTAAGTCCGACGGTAGCGGTCTCACATTCACCTCGGCTCCTCCGCTAAGTGCTGTCCAACCACTGGGTAGCGACGGTAATATCAAGAGCTACGAAGCCTAATATATTTTTCCGATTGGGAGGGATTAACTCTGTGCTAAGCTGCGCAAGAGAAGGTTGTTGAATTTTTAATCGTGGCGAATTTAGGCATCCTAAAGGGACTTCGATCTGACTATTGCGAGCCGCCGGCTCCTGTGGGCGTCAATGGAATAGGGTTTCTCGCTCTTTGCTTTTACTTGGTTGTCTTTTCTTTTTCCCTCTGAAGTAAAGTTCTCCTACCCTCTGAATGAAAAAGAACATTCCTGGGGGAAAAGTAAGAGAATGGGAGAAGGAGGAGGGTATAGTGTCTTGCACTTGCATAGTGACGGTAAAGACCCCCGTGTATACTACGAGTACTACGAACTGCTACTCATAAATGGGACCCGTCTCTGGGAAATGGAAAAGAGAAAGATACACATAGTAATGAATTCCTAGATGATGCAAGCATAGTCTATAAGTATTGCATGTGTATATTTCTTTATAAGAGCTTGACTACCTCTAGCAATCCTCTAATATCCCCTATCAAGGTATTCACACAACGCTTAAGACACCCCTATACGTAGGCAAATAGACTACTATGCCATACCGCTCCCGTCACATCCAAACCGGCTTTTTAGTCCTTAGCATTCGAACCCCCCGCAACCATTCTCTTCCCTCCCGCAACCTCCCACTCGCTATAATACTCGACATGATCCCTCCAATTTGCACCCAGATCCACCAACCCCGATCGCCTTCGCATCTCCGGCCTCCCTTCCCCTTTCTCATCTCTACCCTCGCCGTGCTCGTGCTCGTCCTCTTCGTCTACCTCCACCCTGCCCCTCCCATCATGCACCACCACCCTCCACAGCCGCGCCTCCTCCCTACCCGCGGCCTGCGCGTCAGCGCGCTCCGCATCCGCCCACAGTTCGTGCTCCACGCGGATGCGGGCGCGCAGCGCGTCGCGCGAGCGCGTGGCTGTGGTGCGGTCGTAAGCTGCCGTGTAGGTCAGGGCTTCGTGGAGGTCTTGGGCTAGGGCGGGGGAGTCTTCTTCTTCTGATGAGGGGGACGGGGACGGGGACGGGGACGGGGGGTCTTTCATGGGTATATCGGAATCGGAATCGGAATCGGAGTCGGGGGCTGAGTCTGAGAATGAGAGCTCGGAGGAAGTAGAGGATATTTCGGGGAGGTCGGCGGGGAATTCTTGCGTTGGGTGGGAGATGGGGGGGAAGCCTAGGGCGGCTTCGACTTTGTCGTAGGGCATTGGGGGGGGCTCGGAGGTGGATGAGGTGTCTGTTTTATTATCATCTATTTCGGAGGGGGCGGTGGGTTCTTCTTCCTCCCGTTCGCTTGTGTCGCTTTCAGATATGTCTTCAGCTTCGGTATTGAGATCTTCGTCGTCGTCTTCCCCGTTACCAGATAAATGCTCCTGGTCTGTCATCCCTAATACGTCTTCGCTTTCATCGTCCTGCTCGTCATCGTACACGTCAAGCCGTAGCCTGCGTGCCGCTCGTGCCCAGAATTTGCGGCTGTTCTCGGTCATCCCGACTGATGCTACGGCGGCCTGCACGTCTTTGATCTTAACGAGGCCCCCCGTGCGGTTGCGGCGGTCCCCGGCACGTTTCGCGCGCACCCGGGAGCTCGCTACGTAGAGTGTTGCGCTCACGAGACGCCGTGTAACGCTTAACGCTAACGAGTGAAAGTCGGCGAGCGCCGTGGCTCGGATCGAAGGTGGCTCCTCTGATACGCCGCGCCAGTTACCGTCCGGGACCACGGACGAGTTCATGAAGACGCGCTCTGAGAGCCGTAGCCAGTTACGCAGGACGAAAAGCTCTGCAAACGGGGGGAGGTCATTTGTCTCTGCCATCGCGGTATTGCGGTTGTTGTTACTGCGGTTGCTACGCTGCTGGCGCTCAAGTAGCCGTGCTAATTGCGCCGTAACCAGCCACCGACCCTGCCAGCGCTTCTGCTCCAGTGCCGTCTCATGCCTCTCACATCGTAGTGCGATGCCATCCGCTGCTTGCTCCAAGGCCGCACACAACTCGGTACTAAGTTCTGCCGCGGCAGGTACATCGACAGGGCGTAACGCCCGCTGTCTCTTACCGTCATTCTCCCGTCGAGCACGCTCTGCCTCATTAAGCAGCACCAAATACTGCTGGACTTCGAGCGGGCTCTTAGTGCCGATCCTTGCCGCGATACCAGCAATATCGTCGCGCCCTAACCGCGCCAGAGCCGAGAAGAAGACGTGCTTCTCGGAAGGAGTCCACGACACGATGCCGATCTTGGCCGGTGCTAGGCCCAGGGGTTCGTCTCTGATGATTCCCGCCGCGGCATCGCGAATTTCTTCGTTAAGAATGTTGATATACTGGAAGTTGAAGACTCCCTTTTGTCGCTTAGGCAGCGATACTGTAGGGGATGGTTCTACCGTCTTGAGACGGCGCTTGCGGATACTCTCCCCGGGCCGAGGCGAGGGCAGGGACAGAGGCTGGGGGGGCTGACCGGATTCACTGCTGGCGGGGCCGTACTCGGAGTCGTCATCTGGATCCATATGTGGGTTGGTAGGTCGTAGTTGCGAACTACAAGTTCAACCAAGGCCATGTAGTTGTTGTAAGTCGACCTTTAAGATCTCTAATAGGGGGAGAGAGATGCATGGGATGTATATATGCAACTATCCGTATTTTCTTTTTGAGAAGTAAGTGGAAAGATCACTCGTATTTTTCATAAACTATGAGGCTTGCTTGAGAATAATAGACATGCATCACAATAGGTTTAAGATATCTCCTTATTATCTTGGCCCTGTTAGGTTTAATTTGAGATGCTGTTGAGCTTCTGCGTTGATATATAGATGTAAAGAAAGATTGGATAGGTAGGTAGTTAGATAGTGTGAAGTTCCAAGGTTGTTTGTTAAGATACTAAGCTTCGATAACTTCCATGTTATTTGATATGCGCATGCTATCATGTTGCCGCTAGGTGTTCTAACCTAGGAAAGTACCTAACCTATATGCTTAAATCCATATGCAGTTCCACCTAAAAATTTAAATGGGTCCAAGGCAACTTAGGAACTTAAGACTTAAAGACTTAAAGCCTCGAAATCTTGCCTCGAAATCTTGCCTCAAACATTTATCGCAACCGTCGTTGTGCAGATATGCCATGCTACCTCTGACCACGAGATGGCTATTCTCAATGAGACCCGTGCAGCGGTTTTCGCTAACGGGATGCTATCGATACAATTTTTCTACGTCCCTAACAGCCCGTGCAACTGAGATTCCTAACCCTCCCAGCACCCATAATGCTCTTAACCCGTTCCAAGCCATTCGCCTTCGTGATTATCAAGAAGAATGTATCCAATCTGTCTTGGATTCACTCAAAAATGGCCATAAGCGGTTAGGAATATCGTTGGCTACCGGCTCTGGGAAAACCGTTATATTCACTCAGTTGATTGACCGGATCAAGAACGACTCAAATGAAGCCAGCCAGACACTGATCCTGGCTCACAGGCGAGAACTTGTCGAACAAGCAGCTCGCCACTGCACCTCTGCTTATCCGCACAAAACGGTGGAAATAGAAATGGGCAACATACGTGCCTCGGGAACTGCAGATATTACCATCGCTAGTATACAGAGTATCAACTCTGGTGATCGCATCGACAAATACGATCCTAAACGGTTTAAGCTCGTACTTGTCGACGAAGCACACCATATAGTTGCGCCTGGGTACTTGAGGATCCTGGAGCACTTTGGCCTTGATAAAAAGAGAGACGAGTCGCCAGCACTTGTCGGCGTATCTGCGACTCTTTCTCGAACCGATGGCCTTCGGCTAGGCGCTGCAATCGATGAGATAGTCTATCATAAAGACTATGTCGATATGATAGGGGATAAATGGTTGTCAGACGTCGTTTTTACTACGGTCGAGTCGACTGCCGATGTCTCACAGATCAAAACCGGCAACAGCGGGGACTTTCAAACTCGCGAATTGTCTAAGGTGGTAAATACAAAACAAGTGAACGAAATTACTGTTCGCAGCTGGCTTGAAAAGGCTGCAGGGAGGAAGTCTACCTTGGTTTTCTGCGTGGATCTTTCACATATCGATGGATTGACCGAAACATTCCGCCGATTTGGTGTTGATGCTAGGTTCGTGACGGGAGATACTCCAAAAGTCGAAAGAGGCAAAATCCTTGATGCTTTTCGACGTCGAGAATTCCCGGTGCTTATCAACTGCGGCGTCTTTACTGAAGGAACCGATATTCCCAATATTGACTGCGTTATTCTCGCGCGACCGACTCGCTCCCGTAATCTATTGGTGCAGATGATAGGAAGAGGCATGCGTCTTCACCCAGACAAGACCGATTGCCATATCATCGACATGGTCTCGAGTCTGTCCATCGGCATAGTGACGACACCCACTTTATTCGGCCTCGACCCGTCTGAGTTAGTAGAGAAAGCAACCGTGAACGATATGCAACGCTTGAAAGGCAGCAGGGAACCTGATGACATTAAAATTTCTCGCAGTATTAATTTTATAAGGTATGATTCGGTCTTCGACTTAATCGCAGATACATCCGGCGAGAGGCATATTCGGGCAATCAGTCCGAATTCATGGGTACAAGTTAAAACGGACAAGTGGGTGCTATGCGGCCCGGGTGGAACCTATATCCGATTAGAAAAGGGGAAAACACCAGAAGGAAAAGACGAATTTGCAGCCTGGGAAGTCCGAGCTCTTCCCAAAGGTGTATCGAAGTCTCGATTTGCTTCACCTCGGCGGTTACTCGACGCATCTACCTTCACCGATGCCGTCCACGGGTGTGACAAATACGCATCTGAAAAGTATCCCCATATTCTTATCTCGAGAAGCCAGCGCTGGCGTACCGGTCCACCTACAGATGGCCAACTGGAATTCCTAAACAAGCTACGTGAAAAGGATAATAAACTAACAGCAGCCGATATCACAAAAGGCAAGGCTGCAGATATGATAACTAAAGTACGCCACGGCGCCCGAGGTCGCTTTGCTGCCCTTGACGCCGATCGAAAACGAAGGGAGAAGCGTGAGATTTCAGGGCGGGATAAAGAAAGGACAGTACGTGTTCGGGAACAAGTGTCTGTTGGACCTCTATCAGCCTGAACCCGTAATTACCACCTATCTCCTATATATCACTTCAACTACAACCATCCCAACTCAAACAGCATTTAACAATGCGCCAGTCATCATGTCTCCTTCAAGCAAGTCTCTCAATAGTCATAGGCATTGGATCAATATGAATTAATACTTACCAGACAACATGCATCTGTTCAATGACCACCCTGCTGATTCACGCCCACGGTTTGTGGCGTGTACCAGACCTAAAGTGACTTGCTTGGGTGAAGTGGTGAAGTTTGCTATGGAGCTCTTGACATGCTCTATGTTATATATAAATAATTTATTCAAGATGCTATTCTCCTTCTCCCGTACTTGGTATACGCCTCTTGTTCTGGTCCTAAAAATAACCTCAAGCGCACCACCACTATGGAAAAAAAGGACAATAGTGCCATTAGGCGTCGAGCCCAACACCGACCACAGTATACTCTAAACTCTTTTCTCATGGCAATGGGATTTATAAATCCTTTACGTGCTCCTCCACCATCAAGACACCCAACGACATTATGGGCTGAACCGATGCGCCTGCCTCGAACTACGAGCAGGCAGGTAAAAGAAGGCTTGGACACTATAAACGTCAAGGACGATAAACCGAATAGCGCAAAAACAGAAACTACTATAGACTCAAACAATAGTCCTAGCGGCGGGTCTCCTACTTGCCACAATGCCCCTCCACTACTGCATCATCCCAACTATTTTGGCCTACGCGCCGCCGAATGGAGATCATTCCCGCCAGAAGTTGTTCCAAGGTTCGACCTGACAAACTCTACAACATTATCCGAGGAAAAATCACCGGATGTTGAAAGACTTACAAACAAGTATCTTACACAATCCATAACTTTTCGAAGGTGGGTAAAGCAGAAGAACAAGGAACTAGACTCGCTTAGCAGTATGGAACAACATGACGAGAATATCGAAGACGAGATATTGGCCGATAGGACGCTAACTAACGCCGAGAAAAGACAAGCAGTTGTTCACGAAATCCAGGAGACCTATGCTGCACTTGTAGATACCGAGACTATCGAGGCTCAAGTATCCGCCCGCCGTCAAGCTGCAGAAACTCTACAGCGTCAACGAAGATTGCCGCTGACAGCAGCTAAGCGCTTGTTGGGATCAGATGGATCATCATTCAATAATTATGGCGTACCCAAAGAGAAGCACTTATACATCGTCGGCCCGCCACAAAATTTGGTCAGACTTCCTTTCGACCAGGCTGTAGATGCTGGTCTTGAAGTTATTCATCCTCCCAGACAGTATGCATCTCCAGATCTACCAGGCACTCTTCAAACGCTATCGCCTCCCCCACAAGAATCTACACCAGGCGCGCCGTTCTCCTTTGGGCCTTCCACGAGTCCAAGACGCAACCTCCATATTCCAGAATGGTTCGAGCATTTCAAAATGCCCCTAAAAGGAAGAAACCGCGAAGCTAGATGGAACGATCTAATGAATCGTATCTCCACGCTAGAGACAAAAATCAGACATAACGGCGACGACGAAGCATCGGGGAAGTCTCGCTGGGACAAGAAATGGCACGAACCTAACAAGAAATGGCCCTTCGCCCACCGGCGGGAGCACGGCGGCTGGTGGAAATGCAGATCCGGTCGCGACGCCCCGGAGGCAGAGCGAAAATGCTGGCTATGTCACGGCCAGACCGAAACCCCAGAGCAGGCGACGGAAAAACGCAGCGCAAAGGAGAAACTTGACGAGCTCCAGAGCGCTATAGATGAGGCGATGGCCGTGGTTGGTGAGAGGGATAGGGCTGTTGCATTGGAGATGCTGCGCCAGGGAAACACATTCGTTAAGGATGGAGAATAGTGTTGCAACGCCATCTAATAGTGCGGGCGTAATGGGATGGTGCTCCTTCATTGTCGGTTTTGTATATGAAGCCTCCGCTAGGAAAGGACTGGCCATGACTTCATCACATTACCTACGTCCTCACATTGCCAATATCATTTTGGGCGTTTGGGGGTATCATAACGGCGTTGGTGAATTTCTGTTTCCATGGCAGCATTGGTCTATCATTGGCGTCCAGGGGTAGGATACTGGCGTAGATGTGATTAGCCTTAGGAGTTGCGGATATTGGTGAATGTGTATTTTTGCTCAATTAGGTGTATACTCTTATAGTGTCGTTTTATTATTATATGATCAAGTTGATAATATTAGATGACACTATTCCAAAGGTATTATAGGCAAAGTTCTCGGTACGAGTCAATGGTGATCTGGGTTTTGCTGTTAAGCTCGTAGCTCACATAGTACTCCTTGCTTTATTGAACGTAACTATATCAACAAAATATTTATGTTATCGAAATTATATAGGGGTACGAATTGCATCTTATATTAATAAGTGCAGTTATGGTTAAATAGGTATTTATTAAATTTTACTTTTAATCATCTTTATACGTTTCGAACTGAGCAAAGTTAAGATCCGAGTGGTTTATCTTCAGTCGAACCCCGTAACTTACATAAGATACGGTATCCATAGTATCTTCTAGTGGCCACAGATAACGGTTTAACCTATCCGGGCAATGGTTACCTCCGCTGTCCCGCAGCCGTGGTTAGAGCGAGAGGGCAGCTTAGCAAGCGATGATGTATTTGGACAAAATACGCTCGAGCTCTACTCCAATTACTAAGACTAAGGCGATAATCGAAGTTATCGTCTAGATTTTCAGTCGAGGCAACGGCCACTCTTAGGAATTCTTTCCCTAAGGCCTATTAGCCATAATATCTGTATTTTAGTCATCACTTCTTTTTTTTTCTTCCTTCTTAATCACAGATTGGTGGGAAACTTTCTGCAAGTGCAAACTTGCATTGTACTAAAGCTCCGGTCTTCTCCCGGCTATATCACCGTCGCCTCGACCAAATTTTCTCTTATAGCCTTCTCGACCATGCTGTGTCGACAACGTCTAGCACGGCAGCTCGTCGTGAGGGCCCCCCCGAGTTTTGCATCGAGGCTCCGACCCTCTTTAGCATCACGTCATTACTCAATAAATAATACTAGTAACTCGACCGAATCCACGATCGCATACTCAAGACAGACGATAGCCTCGAGACATAACGCCTTACTGAGGTCAAACTTTTCCACCTCGTCCATTGCTAGGAAAGATAAAAAAGACAGCGGCTTTTTCGATGGGTCCGTAGAGCCGTTGTCGGAAGAAGAGGCGAAGGCGAATTCGGAGAAGAAGACGGAGGAATCCAAAGATGAAGTGAGCGAAGCCAAAAGCTCCAATGCAGACTCTCCGCCGTCTGGTAAGAACCAGGGTGGTCAAAGTGAATCGCAGGATGGCAAGGCAAGCGGCGCGGCGGGGGGCGCATCGTCTGGGTCTGGTAGTGATGCGCCTGGAGACGGAGGTCGAAGAGGTCGAAGGTCTGGAGCCGACAAAGCTCTACAGAAACCCGTCGTACCCGACGTATATCCCCAAGTTATGGCCATACCAATAGCGAAGCGACCCCTATTCCCAGGTTTCTATAAGGCGATCACGATTAAGGATCCGAATGTCTCTGCTGCAATCATGGAAATGATTAAGCGAGGTCAACCTTACGTTGGCGCATTCTTATTTAAAGATGAGAATGCCGACGAGGATGTAATTAGGGACCCGGCTGATGTCTACGATACTGGTGTTTTTGCGCAGGTCACGAGCGCCTTTCCGGTACACGGAGAACAAAACAGCCTCACAGCTATCCTATACCCCCATCGCCGAATAAAGCTATCTACTCTCATACCCCCCAGTACTGGTGAACCTAAGAAGGCTGGTCCTGAGACTGAACCTACGCCTGAACCAATACCACCTAAAACAGAAGAAGAACCACAGCAAGAAAAGAAGGGCGACGTAGTCGCTAGCTTCGAGGAGAGTGCTGTCGCCCCGAAGTCTGATTCTGCGACGGAGAAATACGAACCAACATCATTCCTACGAAAGTATCCGGTCAGCCTTGTAAACGTGGAGAACCTATCCGAAGAGCCGTTTGATCCAAAAAGCCCTGTCATTCGAGCGGTGACAAATGAAATCGTAAATGTTTTCAAGGAAGTCGCTTCAATGAACAGCTTATTTAGAGATCAAATATCGACTTTCTCTATGAGTCAATCGACAGGAAATGTTATGGCAGAGCCGGCAAAGCTAGCTGATTTTGCCGCGGCGGTATCTGCTGGGGAGCCCGCGGAACTACAAGAGGTGCTTGCTAGCCTCGACGTCGAGGAACGAATGCAAAAGGCTTTAGTCGTACTGAAGAAAGAACTGATGAATGCCCAGCTTCAATCAAAGATCACTAAGGATGTAGAACAGAAGATTACGAAGCGGCAACGGGAATACTGGCTGATGGAACAGATGAAAGGAATTCGCCGTGAACTAGGTATCGAGTCCGATGGTAAGGATAAACTGGTAGAGAAGTTCAAGGAGAAGGCCGACAAGCTAGCCATGCCCGAAGGCGTTCGGAAAGTGTTTGACGACGAAATTAACAAGCTCGCTCATCTCGAACCCGCCGCCTCCGAATTTAACGTAACGAGGAACTATCTGGACTGGTTGACACAGATCCCCTGGGGACAACGGAGCGCAGAAAATTTTGGAATTCAGAATGCGATGAAAGTACTGGATGAGGATCATTACGGCTTGAAAGACGTCAAGGATCGTATCCTAGAGTTCATCGCAGTTGGTAAACTCCGAGGTACTGTCGAGGGTAAGATCTTATGTTTCGTGGGACCTCCTGGCGTTGGCAAGACCAGCATAGGCAAGTCAATTGCCAGAGCTCTGAACCGACAATACTACAGATTCAGCGTGGGAGGTCTTACAGATGTGGCTGAAATTAAAGGTCATCGACGGACCTATGTCGGTGCACTACCTGGACGAGTCATTCAAGCTTTAAAGAAGTGTCAAACTGAAAATCCTCTGATATTAATTGATGAAATTGACAAGATCGGCCGGGGTTACCAAGGCGATCCTTCGTCGGCCCTACTAGAACTACTCGACCCAGAACAGAATAATTCTTTCCTAGACCACTACATGGATGTTCCCGTCGATCTTTCCAAAGTCTTGTTTGTCTGCACAGCAAATATGACCGACACTATTCCGAGACCTCTACTAGACCGCATGGAAGTCATCAGACTCTCAGGGTACGTTTCGGACGAGAAGAGAGCAATTGCGGACCGATACCTAGCACCTGCAGCCAAGGAACTAGCCGGGCTGAAGGGTGCAGACGTTTCTCTGACAGATACTGCCATCGACGAGTTGATTAAGTCATACTGCCGCGAGTCGGGTGTTCGGAACTTAAAGAAACAGATCGAGAAGGTCTACCGAAAGTCGGCCCTGAAGATCGTTCAAGAACTCGGGGAGGATGTTCTTCCTGAGTCAGCGGCTTTGACAGAAGATGGAAAAGCCGCTCTAGAAGAATCAGAAAAAGAAAAGGAGAAAGAGAACCACGATCCTACTTCTCCCGAAGCCTCTGAGAAAGAGACTACAGAGAAGCCTCGCGTACCCTTAAAAGTACCTGACACGGTTCACGTCGAGATCAACAAGGATAACCTCAAGGATTACGTCGGTCCTCCGATATTCACCTCTGATCGTCTATATGATGTAACGCCACCTGGTGTTGCGATGGGTCTTGCATGGACCCAGCTAGGCGGTTCCGCGATGTACATAGAATCCATTCTCCAGTCTGCATTAAGACCTAGTAGTCGTGCAGGGTTGGAAATCACGGGTAACCTAAAGACCGTGATGAAAGAGTCCTCCACAATTGCTTATTCTTTCGCTAAGGCGTATATGGCCAAGGAATTTCCGGATAACCACTTCTATGACAAGGCTAAGATTCACTTACACGTGCCCGAAGGTGCAGTGCAAAAGGATGGGCCATCGGCCGGCGTGACCATGGCGACATCGCTCTTATCATTGGCATTGGAGACGCCTGTCGACCCCACGATCGCTATGACCGGGGAGCTTACGTTGACTGGAAAGGTCCTCAGGATAGGGGGCCTGCGGGAGAAGACGGTCGCGGCGAGGCGGGCTGGTTGCAAGATGATCATCTTCCCAGACGACAATATATCCGACTGGCTAGAACTTCCAGAGGTGGGTGCTACTAACCTGAAATAACATTCCGATGCGACGGTCTAGGCTAACATTATCGTGCAGAACATCAAGGAGGGCATCGAGGGCCGTCCAGCCAGCTGGTACGGCGAGATTTTCGAGCTCGTCTTCCCCAACCTAGACAGGGAGCAGGCGAATCGATGCAAGATCTGCGAATGGAAAAAGGAGCACGACGCTAAATCCGAGAGCGACAAGGACGACAAGGACGACAAGGACGAATAGGAGACGGTACGGAGAATGGAGTGACGGGTACACTCCTCATAGCCCCTTCGTCGACTTGCATATTTCCCATAGACTTTACAGTAATGCATTTGCGGGATTGGGCCATCAGATAGGCGTTCAGGCGGCAATACGACGACTCGACGAAACGGCTTGGAAGCAACCCAATCATAAAATGTATTCCCTCACTCCTCACATATTTGAAAACATTACAACTTGTATCATACGATTTACCCACATACCCTTCACCTCTCATCTCTCATGAGCATAGTAGACAGATGGACAGGTGGCAGAGCACGGCACGCTCGCCCCCTTTCTTCCACTAGGTTATCTTACATAGTATCAAGAAGAAAGGAAAAGGAAACCACCGAAGGGTCAGACATGAGAGAAACTCTTACAGTAACGTGTCAGAACGCTAGTGATACGCCTCATACGAATGGTAAGGCCTATTCGTGACAAACCCCGTGCCAAGTGCGTTGTGTCGCTGTGGCTGTTGTTATAGAGAACGGTTCGAGCCGGGTGCGCATGATTCATATCCGTATAGTATGAGCCTCTAGCGAGCGCAGTTCGTAAGGAGGTATCCAAAGAGGTATCATCGAGAGTCGACATCTGCCATAGAATCCCGCACTCTGGGAGGACGGTTGCGCACCCCACGATTTGATTGATGTCGGATGTCGCATTATGCAACCTGGAGATGAAAGGGTTGGGCTCTACGCCACGGTAAGAAGTCAATTCCTTTCCCCCCCCTTCCTATCACGGGGCGCTCTATACTAGGTCGGAACTATTGCTGACCACCCCGATGGCTCGCGCAAGTTAGACGTGAGATCATTGATTACGTGCCTAAAAGCCCGACGCGAAGTTCCATTAATACCTAAAGACCTGGGGGGGGGATGGAGTTTGCCGGTATGGCTTTCTAGGCGTAGATGCTTACCTCCTATGTAGCTAGCTACGTGCTCACCTAAGGATGAAGTATGTACTATGTATGTATGACTCGGAGCAATTGATAATCGATGGGGGTCGAGGAGGTCGAGGCAAGGCGATTTCAGCCACGGGAGCCAATGCAGGGCGAGATACTTCGATCTTCCTGGACACTCC